AAAATTAGCTGAGCGTGGTGGCACATGCCACCACAAGGCCCGGCTACTCAGGAGGCTAAGGCAGGAGAATCACTTGAACCTGGAAGGCGGAGGTTGCCATGAGCCGAGATTGTGCCACTGCACTCCAGCCTGTCAACAGAGCAAGACTTCATCTCAAAAAAAATAAATAAATAAAATACAGGGCGGGCACGGTGGCTCACCTCTGTAATCCCAGCACTTTGGAAGGCGGAGGTGGGTGGATCATGAGGTCAAGAGATCTAGACCATCCTGGCCAACATGGTAAAACCCCGTCTCTACTAAAAATACAAAAATTAGCTGGGCGTGGTGGCGCACACCTGTGATCCCAGCTACTCAGGAGGCTGCAGCAGGAGAATCAATTGAATTAGGGAGTCGGAGTTTGCAGTGAGCCAAGATCGAGCCACTGCACTCCAGTTTGGCAACAGAGCAAGACTGTCTCAAAAAAAAAAAAAAGTGCAAAACCTATTGTGAACTGTACATTGGAGGGCTCTAGGTTGTGCAATCCTTAGGAGAATCCAATGCCCGATGATCTGAGGTGGAAGTTTCATCCCGAAACCATCCTTTACCCCCTGTCCATGGAAAACCTGTCTTCCACAAAACCAGCCCCTGGTGCCAAAAAGATTGGGACCACTGTCATAACTCACTGCAGCCTCAAACTGCGGGACTCAAGCCATCCTCCCACCTCAGCCTCCTAAGTAGCTGGGACTACAGGTGTATGCCACCGCACCCAGCTAATTTTTTGATTTTTTTGTGGAGATGGGGGTCTTGCTATGTTGCCCAGGCTGGGATGTGTTTTGAAAACAATTTTTTTAACTTTCAAGGTCAAGGGTACATGTGCAAGTTTGTTACATAGGTAACCTGTGTCATGGGGGTTTGCTGTAGTTTATTTCATCACCCAGGTATGAAGCCCAGTACCCATGAGTTATTTCTCCTGATCCTCTCCCTCCTCCACCCTCCACTCTCTGATAGGCCCCAGTGGGCGTCGTTCCCCTCTATGTGTCCATGTGTTCTCATCATTTAGCTCCCACTTATAATTGAGAACATGCAGTATTTGGTTTTATAGGATTATAGGCTGGGATTATAGGCCAGGATTATAGGCCTGAGCCACCACGCCCGACTACTGCTTTTCTTTACAATCCCAACCAGCCCCACTGCCGCGGTGACTCACTATATGGGCTGGACGCAGTGGCTCATGCCTGTAATCCCAGCACTTTGGGAGGCTGAGGGGGGCGGATCACGAGGTCAGGAATTGGAGGCAAGCCTGGCCAACACGGTGAAACCCTGTCTCTACTAAAAATACAAAAAATTAGCCGGGTGTGGTGGCAGGTGCCTGTAATCCCAACTACTCAGGAGGCTTAGGCACGAGAATCACTTGAACCTGATGGGGCGGAGGCTGCAGTCAGCCGAGATTGCACCACTGCACTCCAGCCTGGGTAACGGAGTGAGACTTCGTCTCAAAAA